TATTTCATGATATGCTGATATTATAGAATGAAAAGTTACATTATAAGTTACCGTAATACTCTATATTACAATACCTCACTTTGAACTGTTCGAATAACAAAGATATACAGGTTTTCTCAACTGACTCATGAAAGGTTGCGTATGGAAATAAGCCATTTAAAACATCACAGATGACGTTGTAATTTCCTAAGTATATTTTTTGGTGATATCCCACTGCTATTTCCAGGTGGTGGAACCCAAAGTTAGCTGAGTGGTTAGTGCTCTATGTTTCCAGGATGTTATTTCGATGAGGTCACGGTTTCAATTCCTCACTGGGACATAATTCTTGCCTGCGATTCAGCGTCAGGCTCACTCAAGGTGGCGCGACAAGCCGGCTGAGAAACACTCTGTTGCATCAAAATGAGTTAGTGTCCAATAAAGTATATCGAGTAAAGGCTAGGGCGTCCCCCGGAAGCGAGCGCACTCGAGCCTGAAGCGTGCGAAAAATGGGCAAGGGCCACCGTCTTACAAAGAGCGGAAACGGGTAAGAAAGCTAGCTCTTCGAAGGCAACTATCCAAAATTCAGAAGCACTTCGATTAGCTACCATCAATGTCGGAACTCTCACTGGACGACATCGAGATATAGCAGATCTTCTGAGAACGGCGAGTGGATATAGCCTGCATACAGGAAACAAAATGGAAGGTGGAAAATCACGCGATATCGGCTATAAGATGGCTATAAGCTTTTCTACAATGGCACAAGCAGCAGTCGCAATGGAGTAGGTATAGCTGTCTCTAAAAGCTGCAGAAGCAGGATTGCGCCAGTTGACCGATTAAGTGATCGACTTATGAGCATAAAGATTGACACTGGTAGAAATATCCGTTGAATTGTCGCCGCTCACGCTCCGCAATCGGATGCAAGGAGGAGGAAAAGAATATGTTCTGACAGGAGCTTGACGATTACATCACATCTATACCACAGGAGATACTCCTGCTCGGAGCAGACCTAAACGGTCATGTGGGGGAGAAAAGAAATGGTTCGGGAAAGTGTCATGGGACCACGGATACGGCACATGCAATGAAGAAGGCGAACGCATTCTATAGCTTGCCATAGCATACAATCTAGCAATAGCGAACACGTACTACATCAAAAAAGCATGAACACCTGATTACGTATTCAAGTGAAGACCGTCTTACACAAATTGATTACTGGGCAATGCGTGATAATAACCTAAAGGATATAAAGGATAGCAAAGTTATCCCAGGTGAAAGCTGCATACCTTAGCATAAGCCACTACTTCTAGACCTAAAAAATCCGGTTGAATGACGAAGAAAACCCAGGGCTAACAACAAAGCACGAATCAAGGGTGAAAATCGAAAGGGAACTCTCTGGCCAAAGAAGCTCTGGTAAGCACTCTACCGGCCTTATGTGAGGAAATAGAACAGTTATGGTCAACCTTAGAGCGCAACTTGCATCGGGTAGCAAGGAGTTTACTGGGTAACACGAAGCCAAGAAGAAGAATCGAAAAAGAAACTTAATGGGGGAGCGATGAGATTCAAACAATGTTTAAGGAAACGAGTCAAGCCTGGCATAAGTCGAAATCGGAAAGCGATAGTTGTACCTAAAAATGAAACAAGCTGCAAAAACATGTTTCAAGAAAGTGAGGAAAGCATACGTAGAAGAGCTGTACAAGGAATTGGAATCTCGTGATGGAGAGCGCGATATATACCGAATAGTGCGAGAGAGGGCAGAGTCCGCAAAAGATATGAAACACTTCTACCATGTGAAGGGTGAGCTTGGAAAAACCTTAAGAAGACCACAGGAAATAACTGAGAGATGGCGAACGTAATTCGAAGAAATGTCGTCTACTACCAGCAGAGGACAGCCATCCCACCAGCTGACCCTGTGAAAGGACCAGTACCACACATAACAGAGAGGAAGTATGGCTTGCTATAGCAAGGACAAAGGACGGCAAGG